GGCATAGCGTTGGACGCAATGAATGAATGTTTGCCAACGTTTGCACTCAACCTATGCTTCACTTCATGTATGCTGTAATCAAACACAACAAACACTGCACTCAACACAACTCAACACAACATCCAGTGTTGTCTATCGCACAGTCATTCACACATCACGTTCACACACCTATATATAGCCCCCTCCGAACCCCCCAAACATAGATTGTATGTATTGTGTATTGAAATCAATGTAAAGTTTGTTATCAAATGTTTGTATGATTTGAAAAACTTTCTTCAATTCTTGTGGTTTTGTGAACCGAAATCCAAGTTGTCGTCCGTTTGTATTGGAAATGCCTATGAATTTGCGGTTATGAGCGGCAAATCGCGTCGATCTTTGACCCCAACCCTCGATGCACTTATACTGGAAGCGAGTATACGATTAATGAACTCGGTTTGTGTCCAAATAAAATAATTGCATTACATGTATGTAACTTTATATGTAAAGTCAGGTGTTGTGACAAACGATTAAATTGAATGATAATTAAAGTTTGCGACGAAAGCATTCATTAATATAACACAATAGCAAAAAAAAAGTTTTGTTTGACAGCAAAATATATGACATGAAAATGACAAATAGATTTGTGAGGGCTGTTGGCAGGAATTGTAACAATCATTTTCTTATTTTTATATTTCACAAAATATTTCTAATCATTTTTTAGTGAATAATATGTAATTTAGAGATTAAACTAAAAAATTCACGCTTTTTGTTGTAATATTCAAACTATTTTTCACATGTTTTTCATTTGTGTGAAATATGAGAGAAATGTTTTGCGAAGACGTTTATGTGATTACATGATAATTGGATTGGATGTCAGCCAATGTTGCACTCAATTTATTGACCCCTTCTCTCACAAGTTTCCGCACAATTCAAGAGTTTCATACATTTTAAACAAATAAAAGTATATTTCAGACAACTTTTATATAAAAGACTACATGAGAAATGTGGTCATCAGAGGAGACAATTTTAAAAGTTTCTTTTAAGCTTAAATTATTGTAAAAATTAAGTAAATTTGGCAATTATACATTTAATACAGTACAGTATATGCCAGAATCCTGTTTAGAATGTGTTACTTTAAAAGTTATAGTAAGGTAACTTATAAATAATCTAGAACAAATAACTTTACTCGCTACTAGGTTAATTTTCATCACTTAATTGTTCCATATATAAATGTTAATTATTGTTAAAGTTGTATAAGGATCTTAAACAATCTGATTCTCGTTTTTAGCTTTCATTAGCAAATAGTCTGTGAAAATGTTTAGTTTTAATATCGTTTTATAAATAAAAGAATATAAATTTATTTACAATTTATCATTAAAAATGAATATAAATATATTTGAGATATTTTAATGTAATCAACAATTAATTGAAAGAATGGTATGAAATATAATTTAGTTTTGAATTATTGACTAAAGAGTGGGATTCGTATTGATTTGACTTCTTTGAGAAGATTGAGATCGAGTTAACTCGTGTTGAGAGGAGTTGTCGATGAGTTCCCGTCGGAGCCAAGTATAGTGTCGACTATTGGACAGTTGGCTCACAACACATGCACTTAAGGCACTCTTGTGTTGAGACATTCGCCACATTTCCTGCCAACTGTTGGTCACAGGATTATAGGACTCCACTTCGGCTATAGTTGTCGTTCCCTATCAGACAAACACACTCTCACAACACATGCACTTAAGGCACTCTTGTGTTGAGACATTCGCCACATTTCCTGCCAACTGTTGGTCACAGGATTATAGGACTCCACTTCGGCTATAGTTGTCGTTCCCTATCAGACAAACACACAATTAATAGTCTTCTCAATGAGTGATCAACACATTAGTGGCCATACATTGAAGCCTCCGATCACATAAATGAGATTCTCGAGGACAGCGGTCGCGAAGTTAGACCTCGGAGTTGTCATATCAGCCATAAGTTCCCAATTCCTGCTTTTTGGGTCATATTTCTCAAGACTAGTCTGTCTTGTGATTCCATCGTTACCTCCGATTGCATATAAGAACTGGTCATTAAAGCTAATCAATTGGACACCACTTCGCGGACGAATCATTTGTGTTATGAATGACCACTGATTAGTCAAAGGATCATAAACTTCGGCGCTATTTAGGACTTCATTGCCTAAAGATTGAGAAGTTTGACGAGAAAATTGTTACGATTGAAAAAAGTGATGAAAAGAGTAACAAACCGTTGAAACCGCCGGCGATGTAAACCTTTCCGGCCATTGAAGTCGCGGACGCATCACTTCTTTGGTGATTCATATGAGCGATAAATTTCCATTGATTTGTCTTCACATCATATTTCTATTCAAATTAATTACAATTAAATTTAAGACATTATCTCACGAGTCATGACAATCAATGTCTCACTTCTGCAGAACTGGTTCTAACCGTTCCATCGAATCCTCCCTTCATTTCAATAAGAATTTTAAATCAAATGAATTTTAAAACAAATAATTGCTTTTCTAATACCATTGCATATATGAATCCCTCGCAAACGGCAACACTTACGTAACACCTGATGGAAATGGGTTTTAGAAGTGATCACAAGTTTAATAAGTATAGTATGTCAGACCTGTTTGAGTGCATACAACCCTTTTCTGTCCACAACTTTGTCGTTGGATTGAAAGCGAACACAGAATTGAAATGTTGTCGTCCCTAAAGACAAGACAATTGACAACAATTACAGCGATTTCTTAAGTATTTTTCAACTATTCTTACGTCAAACCCTCCGATGATATAAACGATACCATTAAATGAAACCAATCCATGGTATGAACGATAGGGCGCGAGACTGAAGTGAAAGCCATTTTCGTCAGTATTTAACATAATATGAAACTAATCACTGGATTCTTACACTAAGCTCTGGCCGTCCATTGAATACCACTTATTTACCCGACAGTCATAAGTCTCTATAGTATTGGTGGCATTGGAAGCACTCCAACCTCCGAAGACAAACACTATATCTCTTGGGATTCTGGGTCTCAGGAATGGATGCAAACGGATGTTGAACTTTGAGGGCAATGGATGTAAATGAATGTCATTGAGAACATTGAACACTGTATTCATGTATTCGTTGAGCTCTGGATTTTGCTTCACTAAAGCATTCTCTTTGACAGTCGTCTCAACAAATCTGTTCAAAATTAAGATATGAATGCTTTGAATGGCAAACGATTGCAATACTTTGCAAATGAATACTCACTTCAACGAAGAATTACCGAAACGAATGAGTTTTAGTAATTTGTGAAAGTGTTGTACTCTTTGATCGTTAGCTGATATCCAAGAGATGAGCGCAGAGTAAGCGAACTCTTCTCGACTCACATTCAGTCGATCGTCACTCAAGAGCTCCGAAAACTCGTCTTTACTCAGAGAAAAGAAATCCTGACATTCGGTCACAACCTTTGCATTGAATGAAAAGCATTTGAAATGATTGTCACAGAAATTAATGAATGGTTACTGAAGTGAAGTTATAGAGAATGAATTCCTTTGACTTCTCCATCACTTCAATCGCGTAATACATTCGCGACATTTGATGAATCCCTTCATAAGTGGTATAAACTATCAGTAATTTGTCTCTTAAACACATGAATTGTAATACTTATGCAATTCTTTGTGTCCAAAGTTTTGATCCAATACTCATAGCAGTAATCGAGAGCTCCAGTGATTTGGAGTCTATTAAGCGCTTGAATGACTGCCTCAATGTTCATGTCATCGATGCCTACGAGTTGTCCCGTATATACAAAATCAATGATTATTTTCATAATCACTGACGAGATGTCCGGCAAAAACACTTCTCGGCTCTGATTTTCTGCGTAAAGAGAGTTTGAATACAAAGCCTTAAAGTATGGACTGATGGCTGCGAAGACATTGCGATCGATTGGGAACTTCTGGAAATCGGATGTAATTATGTTTGAATCGACGAAAACTGCATTCCTTTGCATTTCCAACAGTTTGTCCATCCATTCGACTCTTTCTTTGCTATGGTTTAGGAATTTAGTAAAAATAGGATTCCTTTGAAACTTACCAATGAATCTTAGCCTGTGTTGATTCACTTACAGGTGAGGAAAACTTGTGGAGAAAGACGAATTATTGCGAAAGAAACGAAAGTAAAAGAAGCTGAATTACCCTTAAAGTGAGTAAAACACGCAACGAATCCAATCAATCAAATCGTATTGAATTTAGTCTCTTTTCAAATATAAGATTCAATAACGAGTTGAAAGTCGTTATAACTCATAGTAACTGTTAATTTGTGTTATAAATTGACTCAAATTGTTGTTAACATAGATTTAAATTCATTTCTAAATCATTACAACAATATAACAATCAAATCCATTATAAGCGGCGATAATATTGTATGTATTCTATATATTGAAAGAGTTGAGTTCACGAGACACCCATTGTTACCAAGTCATTTTTCAATGTTATTTTATTGCCAAATCTTAGCACATGTACAGTATGTTTAGGTAAATTTATTTTAACAGAATATTCTTTATATAAAACTATTATTTGATTCATTTTTTAGTTAACAGTAACTGTGTTGAGATTCGTTTCGATGGAAAGATGTATTGATTTGAATGTTGTTTCGTTTGATCCATCCGTGGATAAGTTGATAGCGTTGGCGAAGCGACTCAATGACCAATTAGTGTCGTACAGAAGGGATACTCAGGCACTAAGCGATGAGATAGAGAGGGACAGCGATGGCCATCGAAGCGGACATTTTTAAAATCTACAAAAATAATCCAAATCTCATTTAATTCTTGCTGTAATAATGATTTGAATCATAAAAATATGAATAAAAACAAAGATTTTGATCAAAAATTATTTATTTTAATTAAAGTTATAATTTAGTGTCAAAAGTGTTCACAATTGCAGTCATTCTTATAGAAAACATTAATAAATGAATTATATTTACCTTAAATTCAGTGTTAAATCCAATGTCTATTGAGTGCCAAATAATTTGTTCAAATCTACGATTTGTGGTGTCTTTAGTTGTGTTCATCAAAACCTAAAAGAATGGGAGAAATGGTTTAGCAATACTCTTTGACATATCCTCGAGTTAATTGCATTAACACATATTTAGAGCTCAATAAATGGTTTGTCTCTTACCTGAAGAGTCTTTGGGTCCGTATTTAGAATCAAAACGGTGTCCAGTTTTGAATGTTTAGTGATTTCTTTGGTGAGATTTATTGACTTAATGTCTTTGTGGTCACGAATGCGTGGTTTGTCTCAAATCTAAAAGAATGGGAGGAATAGTGTGGGAATGCCTTCTGTTATCGGTTAAAGGTTTGACACCTTTCCGCTCGAGGACTGACGGACTTACGTTACGGACCCGCAGGCGAACTGTATCTACCTTTGGGTGCCGTCAGTCCTCAAGTCATGGCATTAACNAAATCTACAAAAATAATCCAAATCTCATTTAATTCTTGCTGTAATAATGATTTGAATCATAAAAATATGAATAAAAACAAAGATTTTGATCAAAAATTATTTATTTTAATTAAAGTTATAATTTAGTGTCAAAAGTGTTCACAATTGCAGTCATTCTTATAGAAAACATTAATAAATGAATTATATTTACCTTAAATTCAGTGTTAAATCCAATGTCTATTGAGTGCCAAATAATTTGTTCAAATCTACGATTTGTGGTGTCTTTAGTTGTGTTCATCAAAACCTAAAAGAATGGGAGAAATGGTTTAGCAATACTCTTTGACATATCCTCGAGTTAATTGCATTAACACATATTTAGAGCTCAATAAATGGTTTGTCTCTTACCTGAAGAGTCTTTGGGTCCGTATTTAGAATCAAAACGGTGTCCAGTTTTGAATGTTTAGTGATTTCTTTGGTGAGATTTATTGACTTAATGTCTTTGTGGTCACGAATGCGTGGTTTGTCTCAAATCTAAGAGAATGGGAGGAATAGTGTGGGAATGCCTTCTGTTATCGGTTAAAGGTTTGACACCTTTCCGCTCGAGGACTGACGGACTTACGTTACGGACCCGCAGGCGAACTGTATCTACCTTTGGGTGCCGTCAGTCCTCAAGTCATGGCATTAACCCATACTTAGGGATCAATAAATGGTTAGTCTCTTACCTCAAGAGTCTTTCAATCCATGTCTTGAGTCGAAACCAGTGTTCAGGTCTTGAGTTGAGATTCATTTCGATGGAAAGATGTGTTGATTTGAGTGTTGTTTCGATTGATGTCTGAAATAATGTGTCAAAAGAGAGGATTAGTTAGAGTTTAGTGAAGAATATTCGTGAGAATGACTGCAATTGTGAATACATTTGACTTTTGGATCAAAACAGGTAATTTTGAATTTTGTTTTATAAAATAAAAATAATGAACATTTTTATATTACAATGTATTTTAACAATTGTTTGAAATTAAAATTTAAAAATACTCAAAATTTATTTTGAAAATTTATTTTAATTGTTTTTTAAAATTTAGAAATGTTACTGTTATTGAAATTAATGGAAAATGTGATAATTCTATATAGTTTTTCCATTTATTATTATAATCAGATTTAAATACGGTAATAATTCAAAACTTTAATTCAATAAGTACAAATAATTTTTACAATATTTAGTGTGAATTGTATTTTATTGAGTTTATAATTAAATTATATGTTACTAACTGTAAGTTCTTGTATTAAATAATTTGTTGCATAAAATGTTGAACAATCTGTTGAATACAGAACTTTCGGATCCCTTTTCTAGTATTTCATGTGTTTTTCATATCCTTTGATATTCTGTATGTTTTATGAAAATATTTGATAAAATAGTAATTTTAAGTAAATTGATTGCAAACTTGATTTCAACCAATTTCATAATTCCAGTAACTCTAACATAACTCAAAACTTTATAAAGTTTTAAATTTCCAAACACTAATCTACCAAACACGCTTCAATCCCTGTTTCCCATCAATTGTCAACCATATTATGGCATTGAATAGCAAATTGACGTTAAAATCAATTCAATTAATTAAACAAATGCTTATGAATTGATGTTAAGTGCAGTATTAATAGCAATACAACAGCGAATATACAGCAAGTTTTGCGAGAGAAAGAGAGAAATGACGGCAAAAATGTAGTGTTTGTTTGTTTGCGAGGTTTTCAACACATCATTGAGAAGGCATTGAATGAGTGAATGAATGCATTGAATGAATGCATTGAATGCATGGATGTATTGATGAGGCCTTTGGAGCCAACGATAAGGCGTTCACACAATCACACAATCACTCAATCATTAAGTCTTTAGTCAACACTAAAAATGTATGAATTATTGTTTGCATTGTTTTCAGACATTATTGCCATTGAATCGATTCACTGATCACACCATCCATTAGTGTGTTGTCCACTCTTGATGTGCCACAAGTGATGGCCACATACGGCCCGTTGAGTGGCCGCCAGAACACGAGTCCATACGTGAGTACAACTCAGCCATCGATGGACACAAAGCCGCGCAAGTGTTGCGGCTTTTCGGCCCGTTTTATACATTACTTCCTCTTCATCTTCAACTTCATCTTCTTGTTGTCCGGACTCCTCATACTTGTGCTCACCATAGCGTACGGCAGACCCCGTGTGGACATCGGGGAGACACACCTGAGGGCCATTCAGGCGCTGATCCCGTCGACCCATTTGGTGAATCTGGTCCACTACGCGATGGTGTTGTGCGGAACTGCCATTTGTCTCATAGCCCTCATCAACGCCTTCATCGGCTGTTGCGGCCACTCATCCGACACATCGGTCGACGACAGCATTGAAATGCAGTCCGAAATACCGCTCACTTCTGGTCGACCGGCCGTTAGAGACCGCTATAACAACAACTCTTCGGCCGCGCCGTTGACCGCAAACCGCGTTCACCGCAAACCCAAACCAAAGCGCGACTCAAACTCGTCATCAATGGTGTTGTGTTTCTTCATATTTGGTCTCCTATTTCTGTTTACATTACAACTGATCATAGGTTTGGTGTCATTCATATCAGTGACGCCTAACGCCGACGGCAAAGACGAGTTCATGTCTTCGTTGACAGAGAATCTCAACACAAGTGAACTACTGGTCGTCCATAAGAGCCAATTGGAGTCACTGTACGGCACATTCAAGTGCTGCGGATGGACTTTCTATGACAACTACGAGATCAACAACAAGTCCAGCGCCGTTCCCGACGCCTGTTGTAAGACAGTTGTGGACGATTGCGGTCAACGCAAACACCCGTCCAATATATACTATGACGGCTGTGTCATCCGTTTTGGACCCATTCTTAAAGAGTATTTACTAATCTTGGGATCCGTTGCTCTCGGCTTCTCCATCATTGAAGTATTTGGTCTCATCTTCTCGTGCTGTCTATACGTTCAATTGGCATCTGATTAACCATTATTTATGATTATCCATTGAAGACATCGATCAATACGTGACTTAACCATTCATGACATGACATTATTTGGTACACTTGTATTGGCGGTACAAATGCCGCAATTGTTTGCCATTCACTACACATTCATTGATATCACACACGAGTCCATAATTTGCAGACCAAATGACATCGAATTATGACATCTTTTTTACACAACATATGATTTATATCTTAATGTCTTTCAAATCCATTTGTTGTGACAATTGGTGTTAAATTAGATAATTATTATTATTTTAATTTTGAGCTAAAAATCACTGGCAGTTAACTATTCCTTATTTTACACACACTTTAAGATAATTCATTGTTTTATCATTTATTGTTTTTGAATGAATTATTTAATGTTTACCTTATATTTATATATGGATTATATATTCTTTTAAATTCTATATATAATTTGCATATCATTTTTGAAACAAATATTTAATTCTAAGTCTTCGTTAAATATATACACCTTTTTTCGTTAGTATTTTTTGGGTTAAACTAAAGTATAAATGCATTTAAAAGTCGATTAAAATTCTAGAATAATATGTGAATTAAATGATGGTTTAATTTATATTAGATTCTCATTTTATGTCTGAATTATTTATGACAGCTATCGATACCACTGAACAAAGGATTGTATATATTTTAATCCTATTTTATAATTAGTTGCGACAAAATTATGGCTAAAAATACATTGTATTTAGTCATTAAAATACCGTATATATCAGTATTAAATGCTTTCAAGTCATTGTCATATTTGAGATAAACCATACAAAACACATGATGAAAGGAAATCCAATTTAGATTATTATTTATTCAATATTAAGAAATATAATTGTATTTGAATTAAAAATAATCTGTATTTATGTTGATTTAATTATACAATAAAAATATTAAAACAAACAAAAGCTATCATTATTTGCCTGACTTTTATATATCTCTTATGATTTATAATATGGACTCATTGTTACAGCGCTTTAATCGGTCTTATTGTGGGAATAAATCATTTTCTTAATGTCTTGAGTGTTGACGTGCGCCACATATATGTCGTCCCCGTAAGGCATTCCTCCGCGTCTTAACGATTTGGGATCCAGTGGTTCGTACGGCTCGTCCCCCAACTCCGGGCCGTCAAAGTTTTCGGCCGCCTTTTCTCACATGAATTTGGTTTGAATTGTGTTTACAATTAAATGTTAATAATGAGAGTAAATACCAATTTTCCCAAAGCAAAGACACAACGCGTCACTTTCGGGATGTTCTGCAGAAGTAACAGATCCTCGACTCCGAACAACTGGTCTTTCGGTACTCCATAGGCAGAACACGCCCGAAGAAATTGTTCAATATTTTCTCTCTTTTGTTTTATATTAGTTCCAGAAGTGATTTCACCTTTAATTGAACCCTCATTTATGGCATTCATTAGACTATAATTAATGGGATTTAAATGAATCAATGATTAATTGATGGCTAAACTAATATAATTAAAATAAATAGTTTACCGACAGAGAACCACACCATCCCTGAGATATTGTTCGTAATCAAATTCACTGATCTCTTTGAGAATATTCCAAATCCATAGCAATACTTGACTCTCTCTTGTGTTTTCCACTACTCTCTAGAATAGGAATTATAATTCAATTAATAAAATATCAGAATTTCGTACATATATGACAATTAAAAACCAAATTACGATTAATACCTTATGTGGTAATAATAAACAAGTAATTGATTCCGACATCATTACAAATTCTTACAACTGTATAATTTGTTTAGAAATTCACACGTTTTGTTCACTTTATGACGTGAAAGTCAAGAGATGTGTTAAGACATACCATATATTCAAGACAGCCATCGTTTGTACCCTCTATTCAAAATCTATTTTTAAAATAAGTTCTCGTTATAGCTATTGATATAATTTTAACAAATTTTAGGCAAATAAATAATCAAATTTGGTACTTTTATACATAAAAATTATGTGAATTTATTATTGTTTTTTAAGTACCCATAGTCATTTTTGTATATTGCTCTGGGATAAAATAAACTTGGGATTTATTGTTATTGAATGAAAGTATACTCTCCAAGAAGTCGATTGATATACTTTATGGTCAAATCCAGCCATAATATGAAGCTGAATATATTATATTCTCCATATCGCTGTTGAGTTTAAGTAATGAATTCAATCTACGTTCACATTCCCTATGACTAGACATTATAACCCGTAACCCGATTCTAACCCGTAACCAATTTCAACCCGTTATAACTTAAACCCAATCCGTAGGTATGGATTGTAAAGTTACAAGTTTCATATTTCGTAGACTACTTTAAACAATTGTCGGCATCGACAGTAAATGATTCATTTAATTTGGATATTAATTCTCATTCAATTATAACAAGTATTTAGCACTTATACAAAAATTTGTTAAAATAATATTAGTTTATTAACATAGAATATCGGTGTCTTATTAATATAATAAATTTTCCTTTACTTTTAAATAATATTAAATTTCAAAGAATAAAAATTTAATTAATTAATAATATTATTATTATAAATATTATTATTTATATAATAAGCATATTTAAACCCCCAAACATCCCCTATGGGTGTGATGTTAACATTGTTTTTATTAAATGAGTGCTAATCTATTTATAGTAATCAGTTAAATTGATTACTAATCACTGAGTTATACATTTCTCATTGCTATATCGAAGGAACTTTCACAACATTTCCATTATTTTTGAGAAATTTCACATTGAATTTAATTATTAATGTAAAATTATTGTTGTTTGATAAATATGCCGACTATAATCAACCAACCATTCTCCTTTCTCTTATATTTAATAGTATATAATACTGATTTGAGTTAATGAGTTGCAAACATCCAGTTTTTTCTACATTAAGTCCTTCCATAGTAAATAAGCGCTAATTTTTTTATTAATGTGTTTAACCTTTTAAAACCTATGTAAACTTTATCACAATTGTAATTCTTACCAATATCATTTACACCTTTTATGAAATTGATTATTTCCGATAACATATTTATGCATAAGAAACAGAATATGATATATGAAAGGAATATTTATGCAATAAAAGTAATATTTTTATATACATATCAAATACACTACATATCTGTATAAACGGATTTATTTTAAATTTAGTCTTCAGTGCAAACGATGTGAAATTTTAGTTGAAATATGAACTGAATATTTATATTGAATTTCCGTTAATCACTGGAATTGTCTG